TTGAGGTTGGTGAAAGGGATTCTACAGAATGCGTCCGTTTTCTTAATTTGACGCATTCTATAAATCATAGAATGCTTTAAAAAATCAATTTTTGTCCCAATTTTGAGAATTAGCTTTTAGCTGATTCTCATCTGAGAACGACTGTATCTTTTCGATGAAAATGGACAAGTCCACGTCCACCGTACAAATCTGAATAAAACCATACAAGTCTGTATGAAACCATACAATCTGTTCCCTACAGTGTACAAAACCCTTTACCTCTTCGCCTTTCACTCTCTTTCACTCCTCCATCATCACCTTTCTAATCAATCGAAAACTCTTCAACATCAAAATGTCTAGCGACGACGAGAAGTCAGTCACCAGCAGTGAAGATGAATCAATCATCAAGCCATCAACATCAAAAAAACCCGCAGTAAATCAAAAAAAAATCAAAAAAAAATCAGAAAACCGATCTAATGAAAAGAAGAAGCTGATGAAATCTCTTCTGGCGCATGGACTCTACGAGACTCGCTTTACTTCATTGAAGAATACTCAAATCAAATTGCAATTGGTAAAGAAAATGACGGTGGAATCAAGTCCGATGCCTGGAAGATAGTGCGTGACAACTGTAACACAAAATTTAAAACAAACCACAAATTAACTCGATTTAAAAATCACATTCAAAAGGTTTTTTTTCCTTCTGCTTCTTTCTTCTTTCTTCTTTCTGTCTTCTTACTTCTTCTTCACATGATTTCGATTTGACTGTGTTCTGTACAATCTCAAACCAGCTCAAGACAACATGCAAGGCTTTTGACAAGATCAAAGACCAGTCAGGTGCTCCAGGGACCGACGACACCACTGGAACAGTAAATGCTACTAAAGACTGGTGGGATGAATGGATCAAGAAGGTAAATCATCTCTTTTATTAGCTTTTGTTGTTTCTTACTTTCAATTTTATTTACTTACTTTTGAACTTAAGTCCGGAAACACCGATGCAATTCCTATCAAGAACGCCGGGTTTCCACAGTATCAAGCAGTAGCCTCGATTATGCCTGAAAAACACTTACGAGCCAATGGAGATGAAGGTTTTGGGACACAGAGCAAGAAACAAAAAGCAGCACCTACCCCTCCACCCGATGATGCAGGTCATGAAACAAACAACGAAGGTACGTCTATTTATTTCAATTATTATTATCACATCAAATCAATGATCTCATCTACCTTATCCTTCATCAGCTCACAAGTCTAGTGAAAAGGATTCTCAAGGCTATAAACAGTCCGATTCAAATTCCAAATCCGAGGATCAACTTCCACCTCCTTTAAAAAGGCAGAAGGGGAAGGTAAGTGGTATCATTATGTATCCAGTTTATTGCTTATCATACTGACTTGTCTTCATCTAGGGTACTCAAGCAAGGCCTTCTAAGAAGCCTGTTGAAGATGAAGATGAAGAAACCCCCGAGCTGAGGTTTGTACGAAGTAAGCGAAGCCCAATTAACCCGGGAGGTTCAGAATCGGTCCGATCACGCACAACGGGTCCCAAACTTGTAGCCAGCTTGATGGATCGAGCTATCAAGTTGGCAGAGGCGAATGAAAGCGATAAGCTTAGCATAGCAAAGATGAAACTAGAGCAACATCCCAAACAAGAAGAAGCCATGAAGATATTCAATGAAGAATTTGCAACCGAGCTCAAGCCTTGTCACATTAACAAAGTCGCTAGCAAACTCAAAGATGATGATACAGCTTCCTTTTTCTTTCACATGCATCAGGATCACCGCTGGAACTGGTTGAAAGAAGAGGTGGGGGTTTTAGAAGACTATGAATAAGAATCAACTGATGTATCTATAGGTTAAATAATCAATTGATCAATGTATCCTTTGTTCAAATCTTTTTTCATATTGTTTCTATTGATCTGTTTTTAGTCATTACCTATATTTTTAGACAAAACAAAACATACATTATAGTTGCAAATGGTACATGAGTAATGCAGATAATGATAATGTATTACACTTTTGAATGGTACAACAGTAAACGAAAATATCAGGTT